TTTTCACTCTTCTTCCTGAGAAGTTACAAGATACCACTGTTGGTCGTTTTGACCTAACTTAGGATTTAATTTTCGGCCTATTTCCTCTTTTGTCTGCTTGTTCCTCTCCACAATCCCCGTTCAGGCCTTTGTTCTAGTTGGAAACAGTTCAGGTCCAGCTGTGGCTGTTGGTTTTAATTGGAAACTGTCTCTTTAAATTTCAAGGAGATCTTTGCGCATGCATAGTAGAACCCTCCGAGGGTGGGGCTGGGGTGCCCACTAGCTCAGGCACCCCTATAGTCACCTAAATGGAGGTGCGCAGATAACAAGGGACCAATGAATAGATACCAAAAGAAAAGAATGTCCACACCTTTATCTCCGCGGTTCTGCCAGGCGTCTGTGGCCGCTTCTGATCCTTCCCCCGCGTGGTACCACCCAAGATGGTGGCTCCTGGAGCAGCCAAGTGTCCTGAGCAAAAAAGCAATAGATTTCTTGCTTCTGCCACAAATTCCCCCAGCTGTGAGCCTTCCAACCTTCTAAATATTCCATTATATGTGGTTCAGAGTTCTGGGACCGTCCCCTGAGCCTGCTTGTTGGGTATTCTGTGTTGTTGTTGGCAGAACTCCTTTACTGCACTTCCACCTGATCCGCCATCTTGTTTGTTCTCCCCACAAACTTTTTGATGTCTCCTTGTAGAACTGAAAACAATGTACTGATAATATTTTAACTTGTCTTTTTAGAATAGTCAGCAGCTTTCTATTTGAAACACTTAAAATCAAGGCCAAAATTGATATGTCTTGTTATTTGATACTGCACATGCATAATATGTATAGTTTTTTAAACCTAATAAATATTTCTTAATGTTAATTGTGGAGAATAACATTCAAATGAAACTATTGATCTAATATTTACTGAACCCTTTTTATACCAATAATATTCAGAAATAAAGTTGGTGCCCAATCATTGAAATCAGCAATTATGGTACAGATTGAATTCCAGGTGTTGTTGTTGTGTGCCGTGGAGTCGGTTTCAACTCATAGTGACCCTGTACAGGGTTTCCGAGGCTGTGAATCTTTACGGGAGCAGATCCTGCGGAACAGCTCGTAGTTTCAAACTGCTGACCTTAAGGTTCGCATCACGATTTGTAACCAGTACGCTACCAGAGTAATTGTATTTAATCAAAACTGAGTTTCCCAAATAGCGCTTGGCTGCTGCTGCTCTGTGCCATCTAGTTGGTTACGACTCAACAACCTCATAGAGTGTTTCTGAGCCTGTAAATCTTTAAGGAAGCAGAAAGCCTCATCTTTTTCCCATAGAGCAGCTGGTGGATTTGAACTGCTGACATAGCAGTTAGCAGTTTTACCTCATCACCCACTACACTATACTAATTCTTTGGTTATTGTGACATTCCCTTTATAAGTGTTCATCTGCGTCTTATTCATATTTATTTTAAGAGCATTTAGAACAAGGCTGTAAAGAAGTGTTTTTAAATTATTTTAATAGATAATGTCATTTTCTTTCAGGGGGATATTTCAAGGATTGAAAAGGAATACAGGAAACTACAAAGGCAGCTTGAGGCCGCATATGAAAATTTTGAACTCACAAGATTCAAGGGCTTAGCAGAGATCAGGAACCTGGAAGATAAGATGCATAGGAACTCAGAACAAAGCAAGGTAATCCTATCTGAAACCTGTTTTTAGTTGTGTATGGCATAATTAGGAGACTATAAGAAGAATGGTGCTTGTGTAGCCTTGAATTAACAGAGCTTCTGTATTATTGGCTAACCAAAGGATGCTTTCTCAATATTGCCTATTTTGGATTTCACTGTGACATATTGAAGTGACAGGTTTGTTTGTTTGCTTGTTTTTTGAATTTTCATACTTCTATAAGGTACTTTCTAAGAAAGCTAAAGGACTGTAAATATGGTTTTTCATTCATCTATAACTCAATGTGTTTGGTTAACTAAAAAAAGTATGGTAGCCAAAATCCTAGTTGAAAAGCCTTTATCTTGAAAATAATTCAGAGTGTGAGTTGTAGAGTCACACTAGCTGAATCCAAGTCCAGGGTAGGTTCTATGCCAACTCCAGTCTTCGGCAAGTTGCTTATCTTCTCTGTGATTGGGTCAATAGTTTTCATTTTGTGTGGCTATCAAGAGGATTTGGACAGTGAATAATGAAGATCGTAGAAGAATTGATGCCTTTGAGTTGTGGTGTTGGAGGAGAATACTGAAAGTGGCATGGACTGCCAAAAGAACCAATAGATCTGTTTTGGAAGAAGTGCAGCCAGAGTGCTCCTTGG